CCGAGTTGGTTACGTTGTCGTCGCCCGAGGTGGTGGTTTCCATCGAATCCGGGTGGTCGGAACGGGTCTGGCTGTCGTCCTTTTCTGTCGGAACCAAGTCCATCTCCACATCGTTCACCTCATTCTCCGAAGCGGAGGTTTCGCGAGCATCGGCCCCGGCAAGCGGGAGGGTCGAGTCTCCCTTGTCGTCAGAGCCGGACATATCGGTCGCAGGGTCACTGTGGAGGGTCAGGCCAGCGCAGGCGGCGGCGGGATAGTCGAGGACACTTCCAGCGGAGTCCGGGGTAGGGGAACGAGCGGTGGAGTGGGATTTAGAGGCGAGGACTTCGTCCTGCAGGTGAGCGGGAATGTAGCGGGGAGGCGGTGAGGCCGAGGAGCTCTGAGTGCTGCGATGCGATCGGGAAGGAGAGGAAGGGTGACGGGAGGAGCGCGAAGAGGGCGAGGCCTTGTCGGAGGAGGAATGACCGTGACGTCTTCCGGCCTGCGAGGCGAACGACAAACCCGGAAGCGATCCTGGTCTGCGAGGCTCTGCTACTTTACGGCGCTTTGTGGAAGACGTCGTGACGGTGAGCTGCGCACGTTTCGTGGCAGCTCGAGGTAGCACGGTGGATGGGTTGGAAACTGAGCTCGACACTGGATTGGTGTTGGTCAGACCGGGGTCGGGGTGGTGTTGGTGGTGGTGGTGGTGAGTGGAGGAAGAGGATGGGAGGATGTGGAGGGAAGAACCTAGAAAAGCAGCGATGCAAAAGGAACGAAAACGTTTAGTCAGTCCGTTCAGTACAGTAGAGTAACTGGACGAAGAAGTAGTAAAAATTTTAGTGTCAAGGAGGGGAGTTTCGGATTGGATTAGATTGAATTGGGATTGGGTTGGAAAAGAACTTCCGCTTTGGCCCAGATTCTTTGCCGGCGGGAAAGCAAGTGTTCAATTCTCTCTTTCTCTTTTCTCCCTCTTGTCCGACTGGACTGACTGACTATCCTGTCTGTTCGCGATTTTTTTTCAACCAGGGATTTTACCCGGGCGCGCGTTGACAGGTTGGTCAGGTTTCGGGATTGGTGGGGTTGAGAAGTGGGTTTGGGAAAAAATAAAAGAAACTTAAGGATGGATGGAGAATAGGGAGAGAAATGGAGCAACCATAAAAAATAAAAAAGGAACTCAAAACTTGACAGACAAGCAACTAAACGCGAAGCAAGACAACTTACTTTTTTCTGTGGGTGATGCTAACAACTTTTGGGGAGAATCGATGCGGATCGGCATCTGCTCTGGGCTGGGCGGCGTGGCTGTTTCTGGAGGCCAGGAACCTGGCCCCAACCCTGCCTTTTTCTTCTCATCACTTGCCTCCCCTGCTGGCTGGGGTGCGATCCACTTCGATAACACATTCCCCATATTCACGATTCAATGCAGGACTAAGCGGTCAGCACGCATTCATTGATCAATTAAAGTTGACAACTCCCTGTAATGGCGCAGCGGTGTCGTTCCATTGATATACTGACCCGTTCAAACCATAAGTGAATGGCTGCAGCATCTGGCGCATATGGCAGGGTGATAGCGTTTTCCTTCTTCGGAAACTCCATCAAGTATACTTGAAATGGACTTCTTGTCAAAAGAAACAAAGGCGCCGTGATTTACTTTCACTTTCATGAACAGTCACAATAGACAATGCAATCAGGGCATGACACTTCGTCGGGGAGATATCCCGGTTGCCAGTCGGACAATGCCGTCAACCACCAATTGCGACTTGGCATCCCTTCCTGGTCTGCAAGACAAATAATTTCTCACATTCGCCGCGAGTAACACAAGATCAATCAACATCAAAGACTAAATTAGATTCATTGCCTCGGAAGCATCTGGTAGGATCCGGGGTAACACCGGCTCCTGCACGGTGAGCTCACCCTTTTCCCAACACCCTCTATCCCTGTGATCAGCAGTTGAAGCAGCCTCGTATTCAGGCACAGGCTGACATTTTTCTGTCACTATTGCCTATGATTCGTCACTCACATATTTGAGAAGAGCTACTATCGTGGATAGAATAAGAGAACTAGCTTCATTTCATTCTGCTCATTTATATGTAACTGAAAGTAAGCTCATTCTAGATTGAAGACCCTAGTAGATATACATCGTCACAGTACTGAGAGCCAACGGTTCACTGAATGGTCATAAATCTATTATCCACAAGATAACTAGCATTGTCAAATAAAGCCAAGAATGAAATCACAGTTTAGATTTTGAGGCTGTCTGGCTACTATATATATGACCTTGAGGGCTATTGAGTCTCACCGCACGTTGGCATTGAATCATTGGACTTTTCCCCAGGTGCCCGGAATTTCCCAGTCGAGTGAGAAATGCCCATAAATGGTCTTTGGGAGACTCTCAATCGGCATCAATGGCTATGCATTGACTATTCAAGAGAAGCAGCTGTGTTTACCCAGCCTAAGTTATTGTACACATGATTTCGTTAACTGTGTCAAGAGGCATTGTTCAGTACTCTGCCCTCTCAATCAGCGAGCTACAGCCTGGTTAACATCATGGTGGAGCTGCTATTGTTATAGGTCTCCACTACCTATCATTCACTGTTTTATTTCATCCCCAGCCAACAGCGATTCGTGACACAAATCCCACGTCTCAATACCATCACAACTGCCTATCTGGTCTCACCCTCTAGCGAATTCCAATTAGCAGTACTGTATCTGTGCAATCATACCCTGGACAAGTCACCAATATTGTCTGTCATATTGAATACTGGGTTCAGAGCTGCGCTGGTAGCTGCTGACATTATTGCAGACCTCCGACACAATGATTCCATATTGGAAAAATAAGATGTGTAACAGGACATCTTCATGTTCCTCGTATAGCAGACAAGCTGACTGTTAGTAGCTTCATCTCGTGTTTCAATGTGGTTGTTGGTTCCATGGTTAGTAATCGCTCCACCGACGGATGGATAATTACAAGAAAGCGGAACTACAGTATTGACATCATTTCAGAATGCGGTATTCATATATATAAATAGCATTATTCAACACTCTCATTGAAATGTTATCTATAGGTAGAGATGGTATACTATCAATCAAGTGAAACAAAACCAGATAATTGCCCACCAACAGGGCAATCATTCCCGACACGACCGAGTTTATTACATCACATTGAGTTCATGCAACCTAATCCGTGCATCTATCACCAAACATACAAAAGGTTATATGAACCACACCTTCACCATCGATCACTACCTCTTTCATCCAGACATCCCACAAGCAAATATCAATTGATACTATTGCACATATCTACAACAATCTACATCCACAATGCCAACCGCCATCGTCACCGGCGCAACCGGTACGTACCTTGATAATCACATACTCCATATCATTCTAACCATTGTGAAAAACAGGCATCCTCGGCCGCGAAATAATCACTCACCTCTCCAAACTTCCCGACTGGACAAGCATCTACGCCCTCTCTCGCAGCAAGAAGGATACCTACCCAGCACAAGTCCACCACGCCAGCATCGACCTCCTCGCCTCACCCAACGACCTAGCCAATCAACTCTCTTCCCAAAATGTCTCCGCGGACTACCTCTTCTTCACCGCATACCTTCAAGAAGGCGACGAAAAGAACCTCGAACGACTTAACGGCGACATGCTCGAGAACTTTCTAAAAGCGCTGAGTATCAGCGGTGCAGAAACGAAGCTCAAGCGCGTGTTGCTAGTAACAGGGGCAAAGCACTACGGAGTACATTTGGGACCGGTGAAAAACCCGATGGAAGAGAGTGATCCGTGGGTGGAGGGGGAGGGAAGGCCACCGAACTTCTATTACAGACAGCAGAGGATACTGAAGGATATGAGTAAGGGGAAGGGATGGGATTGGGTGGTTACATATCCCAATGATGTTATTGGGGTTGCTAAGGGTGAGTACTAGTACCTTTTCTCCTCCTCTATGTATTCTGTATGAATTATCACAATGCTGATGACGATGATCAGGAAATTTCATGAACCTCGTAACAGCAGTTGGACTCTACGCCGCCATTACCAAGGAACTCAACGCACCATTCATCTTCCCCGGGTCGCGCACTTTCTACACCATGACTGACTGCTTCACGTACTCCCGCTTTCATGCACGCTTCTGCGCATGGGCAATCTCCGAGCCTCGCTGCTCGAACCAGAATTTCAACGTGGTCAACGGCGATGCGCAGTCCTGGCAAACCATGTGGCCTCGACTGGCGAAGCGGTTCGGGCTCACTGTTCCGGCAGATCAATTCGAGGCGGAGGATGATAATGTTGTTCCCCTGATTGATAACCCTCCGTTGAATGATTATGTGCAGACGAGTGGACTTAAGGGCAAGGTTAAGAAGGGCGAGGTACGGATGCGCATTGATCTGACCAAGTGGGCGGAGAGAGAGGATGTGAAGGCTGCGTGGGAGAGGTTGGCGAAGAGGGAGGGGCTGGAGAAGGATGCGTTCGAGAAGGCGACATGGTTCTTCTTGAACTTTGTGCTGGGGAGGAATTATGACCTGGTGATTAGTATGAATAAGGCGTGGAAACTGGGATTCCGCGATTGGGAGGATACTTGGGATGCGTTGGATGGATGCTTGAGTGAGTTGGAAGAGGAGAAGGTGTTGCCGAAGAGTGGGAAAAACTGATGGGAGCATACAAACCAAAAGTCATCTTTCGATGTTAGGATCGTCAATATGGGTGAATTGATGGATTGGCTTGCTCTCGCTGAAAGTAATTTCGCATATTAATAATAACAAACATCTGCCACTGTAATACCTTACTACTATTACTACTACTCATAATCTTCACTACAATACTACAATCCATAAAAGTAAATGACCTCAATATTAGTCCATTCTGTATTTCCGTAAACAAATTACATATTAAACATGACAACCCATATGTTAATCCTAGAATGGACACCTCACACAACGTGACGGATATAAACCCCCTAATAATATATAGCAGTATCCTTCAACCAACCCACAGCCTAATACATAGACCCAGGAACAAATCTACTCACTATACGCCATATACTCATCCCCACCAGCCTCAAGAGTAAACTCATTCCCGGGGTCAATATACTCATACCCACCCTCAACATCCCCCAACCGAATCTCCCTCAGCCCAACCTCCTTCTTCACCACATCCAGACTCTCCAGCGCCGACTCAACATCCATCATCGCCTCCACACAGGAGCTACCATCTTCCGCGCATTGAACACAGTCCATCAAAGACTGATGCAGCGACAACAAGGCGTCTTTCGCCTTATCGAGTTGGTCTATAGCCCCCTGTGAATCGGAGATCTGTGACGAGATCAATGCAGGTCCGATCAGATGCACGAAGTGGTTGAACTCGACCAGGCAGTTCTGGGCCCATTGGTCTTTGTAGAGGTCAGGAAAGGTGAGGCATTTGTGGAATGCTAATTTGCACATGTGGAAGAGATTCGGGATCGTGTGGTCGGTGGTAGACATGTCGGTGTCGGTTGAAGGATGACGTGTGATTTTTCGGGTGATCGTGATTCTGATTAGGCACATGTGTGTGTGTGTGTGTGTGTGTGTGTGTGTGTGTGTGGAGTGGGGTTCTGTATATAGATGATGGTTTAGGGTGCAAGTGTGGGGTTGGTTGATACGATTGAAGAGCTGGGGATGATGAGGGTGTATATATAGACGGGAGTGAGGGTTGGATTCACTGGGATACATGGGTGGACCCGGTATGGGGTAGGTTATATTCATTGGTATATGTTGCTGGGGTAGTGGGATCTTTCACTGTTTGAAAGTGGCGTCCGACGTGAGGTTTATGTGGTAGCTGTTTATTAGCCACTGTTGTCGAAGAAGTCTATTGTTTCGATCTTTTCCGGTCAAGAAAACAATGGCGGATATTACCTTGCCTAGAAGTCACGATTTGGGGATACTTCCTATAGCTGGTACGGGAAACTCCGTTGAGTATTGGAATATCCTCGTCAAGTACTAATGGGGCTTGTGATCTCAGGGAAGTATAAATACCCCCCTACCCACTTAGGCTTTTGTGGCTGGATCAGGAACACAACGATAGAGGAACAAGCCTGAAAAGGCAGCCTTCTAGTTCCTCTCATGCATCCATTATAGCATATACTTTTCGATGCGAAACTGACTGTATCAAAGTCAACGGGCAGTCATATAGCAATTGGCGGCAATCAAAAGATGCTGGCAAACAGAGCGCAAGTCTGTGACTCTGAACGAGTACAATGGGCTCTCTGATTCACAAGGACATTAGAAGATCAGTCTGCTGCGAGATACTTGTATCCCAACTGAATGAGGTGCCTCCTTGCATATACCACTATATATATCACGCAGCAACTACTCAACATCTCGACATGTGAGAACAATCAGTCGTCTTGCCGTGCCTCAATTTGACTCTCTTAATCCTTCATCGCTCAAAGCCTTCACAGTACATTCAGAAAAAGTCCATCAAACGCTATAGTTTGCTATAAGGTCTAGAAATGTCCGGGCTCGAAGGGCTTTGGATATGATCACTGAGACTGAGGCTGATGGGGCAGGCAAGGATAGCAGTCAACATCAAGGCTGTTTTTTTCTCTTGCTTGGAAGAAAGGAGTCAGACATCGGTGGTTTATACACGCACCGAAAACTTCCCGAAAACAAGCTATACTATGAATATATATTCTTCTGCAGCAATGAGGACGGGGAGCCACTGGAAGCCAACCATATTCCTGCTTCCAGCCAGAATCCAGTTGCGTCTCTGGGGCTGTCTTGAATACCTCAAAAAAACCGGTGGGCAAGTCTAATCATCTGAGTTTTCGGAGGAGGTGTGCTAAGAGTAATGCATTCATGCTGTTATCTTGGATACCGTATACAATCCAGTTGCTCCTCTTCACAGAACCAAGACGGACTGAATTGCTTGAAGAGGTACACATGTTCAGTGTCTGTGTCTGAGACACCCTCGATGATCCCAAGCTTAACTTTGGCTATGGCGACACGAATCGTGTTCTCTGTCGTTGATCAACTTATCACAAAGGTCTCAGGAAAGGCTCCAGAGATGATACGTCGTTCACCACGGATATTGCTTCCCTTTTCTTCTTGTGCCGATAAAGAAGAATGGATCCAGTGGTAGGTTGCATTCTGTTCACCATATCAGAAACCAAGAAACTTCTTAGATGTTGGAGAGAAGCTCAACAAGGCTCGAGATAGCCAATGGATGCAATCTCGATTTCCTGGCAAGATTGTTTCGTCGTTCACCACGGATAATGCTTCGCTTTTCTTCTTTGCCGATGAAGAGAAAGAATATCCGGTGGCAGGCTACCTTCAACTCCGGCATAGACCAGGCATGCAAGAACAGATGACGAGGTTGGAGGAGCACTCGACAAGATCGAGTAAGCAACAGTTGGAGATGATATTGAACACCTGGCCGGTGTGGGTAGCATCACCTAAGGCTGGGTTGGACGGAGCTCTCCAGCGGTGGTTGATGGATAGTACGCCACCATATATATAATAAGGTAACTTCCAGGGTATCGACTCGCTCAATGGTCCTGGTTTTCACCTGTTCGTGGGACTCTGAACTCGCAGCTAGCAAATACTATTCCCTCTGGACTGAAACCATGCCTCGTTCCAGTCGACACCCTCAGCAAATCTGGGAAACATTCATCTCTGGTTTCTACTCATCATTCACAGTAACGACGCTTGCGACAAATCAGGAAGGGCTTTGATGTCACACCTTCCAAGTTCCTGTTTACTTTATATACTATCAGTGGTCCAAGCCTGGCAAGTACGGCAAATTTCGTTCGAAAGTCCACACATATTATGACACTTGAGGAGTTCGATCATCATTGCAAACATCCATGAGATGTGAACACTTCTTGGCGATGAACCATTGGCCTTACCAAGTCTTGATGATGAAGCCTGCCGGTGGCGTACAGTTTTGCATGGACTATCGAAAGCTGAATGCCATCACTAGGAAAGATCAGCATCAATGCCGATCGGACGGCCAGAGTACTCACGCTCGATGAAGAAGTGACCTACGGCACCGGGAATTTCACCTCACGTACCTCCTACCTAGAGAGCTGTTTCCGACTGTATGAATGATGATAAACATGCTGAAGGTGCAGTATTGATGGTGTCTACAATGGATATTCTTGCCAGTAACCTCTTCTACAGCAGGTGGTTACGGTCGAGTACAAACCTCTTTATCAATCGGAACCATACCTTATGGACTTTCAATTCTTTCCTCCCGCCAAACATGGACTGACTTATTCTTTGTGGTAGTTGATGCTTTCTCTAAGAAAGTCTCCTTTATTCTTTATAGGAAGTCAGTCACATCACAAAGAATGGCCAGGTGGTCACAGTCAAGTGCAAAACCTCATTTCTGATTGGTCCATATCTACCATAATATGAAGGCATTCGGTTGTGCAATGCTCGGATTACGCCAGTTCGCATTGCTTATGGTACAGTTGATGGCGTGGGGGCGGGTGGCTGGGGGACTACATTTATCCTGGATTGACAACAAGTATCGATGCGACAAATCGATCTCACGATATCGAGAATGGCGATATCCATATCTACCGCATTGTTGCGGCAATAGGGCGTCTCGCTACTCTAAGATGGCCAAGCCTCGTATTCGGGAGCATGTTGGACGTCTCGATAACGAACGAAGAGTCTAGGACAGCAGCCTACTATCGCTCATACTGATGGAAGCTTTAATGATCAAGAACAAGTCGATGATAAATCCAGCCTACCTCGCTGCTGCAGGCATGCAATCTTGCTCAGGCGTCGCTATCCCTATGACCCCTACCTACGGAAAGGCGGACCGCACTACCATGTCGACCGAAGGCGTTGATGTTAACGAATACCAGAGCCTCGTAGGCAGGTTGAATTGGTTGACCACTAAAACGAGGCCTGATCTACGCCACGCCATGTTTCGCCTCCAGAGACGCATGCACGCCCCTACTACGGTAGATGCAAAAGCGTTGAAGGTTGTATACAGACATCTACGAGACACCATTACCTACGGGATCACGCTGGTACCTGATCACACCAAAGGAATCGAAGACTACGTGGATGCTGCACATGCCGTCACGAAGATTGCAAATCTACAGAGGGATACGTCATCTTCTACGCCGGCGGTCCCATTACCTGGTCGTCCAACAAGCAAAAAGCCTTGAGACTCGCATCAGCACCAGACGTGAGCAGCAAAGGAAGACATAGATGGTCCCGGGGCTGACCCACTTGCCGGTAGAAATGGCGGAGTTCTCAAGCGAGTGCTGGCCCTGGCGTCGTATCAGACCCACGATATGTAATTCTGACTGGCTGGATGTGTGAGATTTGGATGTGGATCAGTCTAGACCAGGAAAAAGTGAAGACTACAGCTTCTGGAAATATACGTACTGCCCATAGCCCTGAGGTAAGCTAGAAGATCACCAACGGCGATGTTAAATCCATTCATCGCTCAACTGACTTCGGTTTGGTCGGTCTGTGCCTTCAACCATATGAGTTCGAGGATGATAACATACGATGGAAGAGACGAGCGACTTAAAGAGAAATGACGCAGTGAAATATTCTTCCTAATCTTTTGAGAGATCACGACACCCGACTTCAGTTGAGCATCTTACTACTTGTGAACCACTCTAATATCAGACACACGATATATCCACTTTGCATAGCCGGGATATACATCCCTCGCCCAATCAGACGAAGATGGCAAACATTGCCTCTCCTTGTTCCCTCCTGTACCGCTGATAGCATGCACACAACTCGTCTTTGACTATACGAAAACCGGCCCTTCCTTCCATGACTGGGTTAACCAGCTACGTCTGTCTTTCCTAGTCCATAGTCCACCACTGCAATACCTTTAAAAAGTGCTTCTTCCTAGCTTTCATAGACAAGACTCCGCAGCCGAGCATAACGACCTTTCAACTCGGTGGAATACTCAAGCGAATACAGCAACTATTGCTGGTCTGAGATCTATCATTGCTAATCCTAACATTAGCAACACATCAAGGGCAAAGATGTACACTACCATCAACTGTGCGAAGAACAACGACGAGTGATGAGGATTCAACTGGTGATCTAGTACTACTTCCCCACCTATGCACTTGGCTAGGTGTATCCTCTATATACTACAGTCAACCCCCAAAAGAGAGAGGAACAAATACCTTGGTTATGCAATTCCTCTTGACTGCTTGGGTGGTTGCATCTGGAAGACCTAGAACCACAGCATGATGCTACTGACTAACCATCTTGCTGTCACGCTCCCATTGCATGAACGACGATCATGATCGTTCTCGTTAGTATGCTATGCAAAATGATGTTCCTCAGAGATGTGTGGTTGTGTTGTGCGGAGAAAGAACACCCAGCATAGATCTAAGAGTATAATGAATGAAACCGAGCAGAAGATGAAGCTCGGCTCCGTCGAAGACTCTCTGATCCAACTGCGGACTTTGTCAATGCACCAGACCAATGCCTATCAACGATGACTCAGAGCTATAATCTTCCAGAAAACCAATCTGCTAGTTCACGAAGCAAATTTCATTGAAATTGGATACTGTGTGCTTGGTGCTTCGAGATATGATTCATGAGGTCTCACCAAGAAAAGAAATACATCGAAGGACAATTCCACTATGGGATGTTAACTGCATCAACGTCTCATTTGGGGTTCTCTAATGAACCACAAAATTCAACATGAACAGTCCGAAAAGGAGCTTTTAAAGTGCTCCATGCTCGTCTGATTGTCTGGTTGGCCGTTGAGCAGAAGACCATGCTGAGGATGAAAACGTGCACCGGATTTTCTGTGATTTGTGTCTTTCAAAGCCGAGGAAGAATCAGATCTGAGATGTAGAAGAACATGAAACCGGTCCTTAAAACATTTTTTTCCCCAAGATATCCATGGTTGGAAGTCCATTACTCTGTAGAATCCAAAAAATAACCATCAACACAGTACATTATCAACTCTCAATATTTTTCTACTTCATTTCTAACTAGCAACCCCCGGCTACCCCGAATACCCCAATTCTTCCATTCCACCAAGTGAGCTTTCCGTGTCATGTACATAGTAGTGTATACCATCCCCAGAGTTAACATTATCTCTCATAATAAAAATAATAATAATAATACCCCACTTCTACCAGATGTACAGCAAACCCACCCCTCGTAGAACTTCCTCGTTAAGTAACCGGTAAGTAAACCATGACAAGTAAGCTTTAGCTTACTAACAACTAGGGGTAAACTCTAAATAAAACCCGCAGTGTGTCAACAACATGTTGATAACTACACTAAGTAAACTTAATATGACATTTGACTTTCGAGCAAGGGAGGGGGAAAAAAAGCCGCGTGGCGGGCCCGTGGAGAACAAACAGACAGCCTGGAGTAGACTAAGTTGCTTCCAACGTATGCGCTAACGTATGTATGTCTTCTTCATTGGATGTGAAGTCGGGGTCAGTATGGTCACGCATTCTTTTTCATCTTGCCTATGCACCCACTACTACTTAAGTGTATGTACGTACCCCACACATAGGGGCCCGAGTACACGCGGCTAACTACGGGTGTTGGTGGATGAGGAGTATTCATATGCCCACCGCACAGCCACTACTATGATATAGTATGGACAGATGTTAGGATCATGCGCAGACAGACATTTTGGAGGGATATTTTATTTTCTGCGCATGAACGCCCGCTCAGATACCGACGTGGCTTTTTCCATCCATCACAAGAACATGCTGATCACTGCTGATCTGGAGAGTACTGCATTCCGTAATACCGCAGAATACACTGTAAAAAGAAGAAAGTGTAAGAGGGCAAGAATAAAGGCCTCCCATGTGGCTCCTGGTCAATCAGGTCTTGTCTGACGACTCGTTCGCCGATCCCACTCCTGCGGACGCTGGGTGATCTACGGCCTCGGTTCCTTGTGCGGTAGGTGCCGCAGGGATCTCGCTTGATCGGGCACCAGAGGTCAGCTCACTAACTTGGCGTTCTATACGCCGTCAGCACGAAACTCTAAGTACTTAAAGGCCTTTTTCGAGGCTCTGTGCGCTCAGGAGTAGTGGATGAAAGGATACGAAGGAGAGTAAACCAAAAAGGGAGGATGGGAAATCGCGCACCTAAATCGCGGATTCGCTGTCGGAGCATTTGGTTTTCGCGCGTCAGCATCGCTGCCTCCGCCTGGTAAAATGCGCTTTCATCCCTGCTTCCCCGCCGGGCTGGGCTCTCACCGGGGCCTGCACTCCAATCCGGTCCCTCTGACCCGCACGACGGCTCGGCCAGCGGTCGGAGATTGGGTGAAGCGGCTTGACTAGACGGGCGGGAGGGTCGCCGGCTGGACAAGGAGGAAGGCAATTGGGTTGACGCCCGACTGCTGGTTGTGGGGAGCGGGGGAATTGGGGGGAATGGGGTCAGCCGTTCCGCAGGACCAGAGTCATCCACCACGGCCTGCGAGTGTTGTTGTTGCTGTTGAAGGTGCTGTAGCTGAGCTTGCTGGCTTCGGATCATGTGTAAAAGACGGTTCTAGCCATTTTCAAGGAGCGTGGTTAGTGGCTATCTCTTACTCATGGTGGTGCGATAGCAACATAGAATGCGCCGGGCAGTGACACAGTAATAGTTGGATCATACCACTTGTGCTTCTTGTTCTTGTTCTAGTTCCTGATGGAGCTCCCCCAGGGACGGCGCACGTTGATGATGCGGGTCCCCGGTGGCAACGGTCGGGTTCCCCCCGACATTACTGAGCGGACTAGAGGTGCGAAGCCCATTATGGCCAAAGGAAGACCGGTGGTGGTCGTGGGGGGTTGGGGTCGGTTCCACGGGGGCCGAATCACTAGCGCTGTTATGGCCATTGTTCAGGATTGAGCTGGAACCGGTACGGGACCGGCGGCGTTCCGATCCTGACATGCTGGAGCGATGACTGTGAGAGGGCCGGTGAGGCAGATCAGTGGCAATGATGTTGCTATGGTTATTTGCTGAACCGTCATTCATATTGGGCAGGGCTGCAGAAGGAAAGTCTGGCTGAGTATGCTGTGACGATAAGGAATCGGATAAAGTCGGGGGCAGCCGACGTTGACGCGGGGAAGAAGTAGTGGACCAGGTCGGGGACAGAGAGTTGATATCGGGCGACATGACTTGGGGAAGCAGGTTAAAGGAGGCCGGCCAATGGATGACAGTGGGTCTGTTGACGAGGTAGGTCCAACTGGAAGGATCAAACCACCACTTTTTGCGAGAACCGTTAACTGAACAGTGTCTGCGAGCACTTGCTGCCACGGACTGGCTCAAACAATGGGTTGGTTGCAGTGGATTGCAGAGCTGGAGCCGGCGTGCCGCATTCCTGCACCTGAAGGCGGGGGGTGGCTGTACTAAGAAGGCGGTCAACCTTCAAACTGGTCAATGTCAGACTGACGCTTTGCTGACGGGATGATCACGGGATGCCTAGATTCGGCCTAGTTCTACGAGACACTGGATCCGGCATCAAAGTCGGTCTGGGCCGGGGAAAGCCTGGAGTCGCTTTTCCCTGGAAACGGTGTTGCAAGCCGGTCCGGGTTTCGGTCATCTCCCGAATACCACTTCGAACCCCCACGCACACGTGAACAGATCGATCTGAATGTTTCGGCGAATTTTTCAGTGGTTGTCAGTGGATAAAAAGCCTAAGTGAGATCGCAGCACAATGCAATCGAACATTCTGTTGCCCCCTCCCCCTCTAAAGAATGCTTGCTGGGGCATGAGAGTCCCTGCAGAGAGAACCCGACTCACCGGGCTGTAGTTTGTACACTCAACAGTCAAATTTGTCTGCTTACCAGGGGATCATCCGCCACACCATCTTGGCGTCAAGTCTTGACAAACCTTGAGAGTGGGAAGGCGGCACTATCCGACCATACAGAGCCACCAGGACAAAATGGCCTCGGTGCTAGGCTCTTGGTATAGTAGTAGTACTTTGTACTCCATGTCCCGACAATCGGACCCTTCCAGAGGGTACTACTGCTTCCTGGCTAAGTAGGCTGGAATCCTTCAACATTCCTGGTTCAATCAAATTTTACATAACAGATGTAGCAACAGCCTATGGTTGATTGTTGCTTCGTATCGGTGCAGACTACCGAAGTTGTTTAGTGGCTTCATTGAAGATGACCTCGCCATCTCCACCTACGAGACACTAGCCAGGGGTCAATCCATTTATCCATGTGAGACC